AGAGGGGGCGGGGGGAGTGGGGGGGCGCTTACAGGAGGGAGCCTCGGGCCGGCTGAAAACAAACGCAAACAATTCAGGCTGAGTTGGGGGCAGTTGATTTCAGAGTCCCTGAAAGGTCAGCCTGGAACTGGCCTAACAGCATCCCTGAGCGCTCCGGAGCCCAGGTGCTAGGCATGCCCAGACATCTAGATGGGCGATTGGGCTCAGGTTGAAGTTGACAGGCAGGTGGGGCCAAAGGCCCGGGCAGTTCGAAGTGCAGCTTTGCTCTCTAAGGCAGCCCTCCCTCCAAATCTCAAGATGGGCTTGCTCTTCGAAAAGGATCCTGTGATCCCAAGGGCCCATCTCAACCCTCCTCTTTCGCTCCTTGGGTGAGCAAAAGAGCCCAGGCGGTGGTAGCAAAGAGGAACTGTCCTGGTCGTGCTGTCACACACTTAAGCCGCTCGCGCGCGCGCGCGCGTGTGTGGGGGTGTGTGTGTGTGTGTGTGTGTGTGTGTGTGTGTGTGTGTGTGTGTGTGTGTGTGTGTGTGTGTCTGGGGTCTGCTTCCTTTGGAGGTCAGAAATCCAAAATGCTTTGTCCGTTAGGGTCGCTGTTGGAAATGCAGGCATCCTGTACCCCTGCAAACTTTTCTGTCTTGTGGAAGCCTTTCCTTGTCACTTTTAAAGGAAGGTAAAGTAAGAAATTTCAGGGTGATGGGGTGACTCTTGCCTTGTAACTCTCATCTCAAGAGAGGTGCAGTTAAAAACTGAGATGGGGTGGGGGCCGAGAGTCTTCTAGCTTGAGTTGGTTTGTACCTGCTCTTGAGTGACGAAGTTGGGGAGCTGTTGCTGTTGTTGAGAGAGAGAAAGGGGGAGAGAGAGAGAGAGATGGAGAGAGAGAGAGAGAGAGAGAGAGAGGCAAGTAGAATTTCAAGGAAGAGAGAAATGATGCCTTTTGAAAATGCTATTGAAATAAAAGGGCTGTAGGAATTGACAATCGTGTTTTATTGGCTCCAATTTTAAAACCCTTTTTAATGAGCCCTAGCAGAGTTTCTTTCTCTTTTTAGAAAAGAGAAACAAATCCTCTGTTTCTCATGATAAAACATCATGATTCCAGATGCCAAGCTACTCCGGCCTAAACCACCAAAGTGTTACATTAGGAAAGTACATGGTTTGAAAATATAGCATGGCATTCCCCAATTCAGAATGATGTCTAGAAGGTGGGGTTTGCTTTATGGAATTAAATGGGGTGTGTGTGTGTGTGTGTGTGTGTGTGTGTGTGTGTGTGTGTGTGTATCATTATGTTTCCACCAGACCTAGGTTACTTAAGTTTTAAGAAATGGAAGATAAGAGATTATTCTCTCCAGTTGTTTAGGCAGTCCTAGTGTTAAGGTGAGGTCAATAGAAATCTTGAACTTTTAACAAAATCCTGTAAGCTGATTTTCCCTCTCTGTGGGAGATAAGCTAATGAATTTGGTGTCAGTAGATGACAGGACAATAGCAGAAATAAGAATCCACACCCCATGTGCTTGAACAGCGAACACAAGAGTCCAAGTGAGACCAAGAACACAAAATGTATGTCTCTTTTGTAAGAGTTTTTCATTTGTCTAAAGACCAAAACAGCAAGCTCAGTGTGATGGACAAATGTTACCACACCAATGGGTATTGATGATTCTTATTCTGTTCTTTTAATTTTTATCACTTTTAAAGGACCTACAAGTATACTTCATTTAGCCTCTATCACACATACTCAGCAATTCAGACAACCCAGTTACAGTCCTGAATGTACATTGTGCTTATGTCAAAAAATATGTATAATCCAGTATACATTCAAAAACCCGGAGGGCTAATAAAATTAAGATTTAAGTTATTCTAAGAGTAATTTTGGCAGAGGCACTGTATACATGTCATCCAATAAATAATTTTTGAAGCCCTCTATGCACTTTTATCTGATAAGTATGTCCTAAGATTCAATGTTAGAAAAGTTGACTTTCAAAATGCAAAATCCACTTCCCACCTGGGGCCTGCTGGCTTTGTCCCAGTGGACGGCTGAGATACTAGGCTGCCTGGCTCTGTGACGACACCTTCCAGCTTCATTGGGCCACATCATTTGAAGGATATGTAGTGGTGTCTGACCACTGAATTCTTACAAGTGTCATGGATGCTGCAAGAATCTGATACTCTTGCGCAGGAAGAAGATTGTATTTTCTTTTTAAAAAGAGAGATACAGAAAAGAAAATTGTTCACTTGAACCTATTGTTGATATCTAAGAAAAATCATTTAGATTTTTTTGCATTATTAGTAAATGTAGCATTTTGAATTTGGGAGACTAATCAATCACACTATTCTAATTTTAATTCACAGAAAGAATGCCAAAATAACCATTAAGAGCTTAACTTTAAAGTAGACAAAAATGCTGCAAGTTGTGACCAATAGTATATTCCATCAGCCCATTTATTATAGCATCAGTGTAATAAAAATTGTTTTTTCGCAGAGTTACATGTAGTTTAACGGGGGATAAATGTGTTCACCAATTGTTTTTGAGATTGCATCACTTTTATTGAAGACAATTGAGTGGAAGGATATTGTATTTATCACTTTGTATCCACCTGTAGTTTTCAAACTCTAAATGTAAGAGTTCCTCAAATTCAGAGAGAGGAAGATAGAAAATTAAAATTGACCAGTCTTTTGCAATAAATACAAATGGAATAACTTAAAAAGAGAATGTACTTGTTTAAAAATATGTTACCTATCGAAAGTAGAGCTAAATAAGATGGCAATATTTAAACATGATTTTAAAGATTTAAAAAATAGTTTTGCACTTTCAAAAAGTCTAGAAAAATAAAAGAATCCAAGCATAAAGTCTTTATATAAATAGTCAAATTGATTTTCAATTTTTGCTCTTGTTGCTTAGTTTTTTGGCGTATGTCAGTTGCACCCAGTCTCATATTCTATTTTAACAAACTAAACATTAGGATAATAAATAAAAGAAAATAAAAAACTTGTTACCTTGTATTCAAATACATATATACATAGTAATTTTAAGATGACAGGACTTGTCAAAAGATATAAAATTTCAGTTAGATAGGAGAAATAAGTTTTAGTTTTCTATTGTACCAGCATGATGACCATAATGAATAACAATGTATTGTATATTTCAAAATTGCTAAAAGAGTAAATTTTAAAGACTCCCCTGCAAAATGTTAAGTAGGCAAGATGATGGATATATTAATTAGTTTATTTCATTTTTCTACAATATTTAAATATATATCTCAAAATATCATATTGTAGCCCCCAAATATATACTATTTTTATTTGTCAATTGTTTATAAATTTTTTTAAAGATAGTAGGATTTAAATAGTCAGAAATCAAGATATTTTGAAGTCTCATTTCTTGGTTATTTTCTTTTTTGTTTTATTGCAAGAAATATGAAACTTAAGAAAGAAGTTCTTGGAAAGGTTTCTGGAAAAGTCAATATTAAGCTCTTCTAAGGCATGAAAATTTAATTTAATAATGTGACATGATATGCAGTGTTTAGTACATTACAAAAGTAAATGTCAGAAGACATATAATCTTCCTTTAATTTAAGTAACCCAAAAAGTTTGCTTATTTGTATTTTAAAATTTTAATGCAAAATTTAGCAACTATCCCCCCAAATTAAATTGGACTAGATATTAATTAACCAGATAAAATTAATTACATTTTTACATTTTCATTATATCTCACACAAAGCAAAAAAAAATGCTCTTGAAAGTTGAATGAAGATTATGAAATAAGAAAGGCTTAGTGTTGTACTTTAGCAAAGCATTACTCAGTCTACATTACTATTGCACATAGCAAAAGTTCATTAAGCCTTCTCCAGGAAAACACCTGTAATACAAAAACATTCATGAAAATCACTATATTTTTTAAACATTTAGCCACCAGCTATACAGTCCTATATAGAGTCCCATTTTGAAGTGTAGCTTTCAAGAAATTATATTTTGTAGACAATAGGAGACTACCTTACAAAGATTTCATTTTCTACAAAACAGTCTATTTAAAGATTTCACAGAAATTAATGTAAAAATCTATTTAAACATCCAGAAACTAATTATCTATTTTCTAAAAATGACTTGCAATGATTAAAAAGTCATTGGATTTCCTAATACACAGTTTGGATTCCTGGATTTTGTGTTTAGAAAGTGTTCCATAAAATATAGGACAATATTTTCTATTGCTTCTCTTTCTAAGAACTAAATAAGGATCTTAACAGAGTAAACGAATCTTGAATCCATGCATTCCCTAAATTGTTATTTCCCTTATATCAATTTGATATCCTCAGATTAGAAGTTGTTGGGTAGTTAAATTTTGTATCAGAAATTATTCAACCATTCAGAATACAATTTGTTTATTATCTGAACAGGACCACTAATTACAAAATTATATCACAGGTATGAAAGTCAAATAGTTATATCCTACAGTCACAAGACAGAGTGGATTTAATGTATTGTATTGGCAGAGAGGGCTTAC